AGTGGTGCCAGTCTCATCCTCTTCACCTTCCCACGCTCATTCTGGGGGCTAAGGTAATACTTATCTCCCCGAGTGCGGCCTTCACCAAACCATTCCATCACATAGACCAAACCAACCCCAGGCACTGGGTAACTTTCAGCTAGTCCTTATTTCTCAGTTTAACTTTTTTCTGGGCAGAGTTGGAGGATTTACTATATATTCTGCTTTGAGCTCTCAGGGAAAGGTGGAATATAGCTCTAATAAATATGTTTGATTCCATGCTTACCCTGAATTAGCCCTCATGGTTGAAAGGGTAAATTCACACTTCATTATTTGAGACTGTTGCCAATGCTGGTGCCAGGATTTAGCACCTCCAAAAATTTCTGCAACCAAGAACACCCAAGCCCCTTTTACTATAGCTGCTTCATATTTATTGACCCAGCCACCTTTCAGCTTGACGAATCTACAGGTTGTTGGTGACTCTCACAGGCTTGTTCCTGCTAAGTATCTATTCAGTCTCATTTCTGCTATGTACCACAGAGCTTTTTGTCTGGCCCATCTTCCCCACAGCTGTATTGGAGGATAGGTACCAGAAAGTCCCTTTTGTAGAGAGACTCTGTCCTTGTGATTTGAGTAAGCTGGACCCACCTTTTTTTTCATAGTCTCTTCTATGACATCATATGCTCTACCTTTTTAATATCCTTCATTAATAGAACTCAATCCAATTCGGTTCAGCAGGAAAAGAACCCATTTTTTACAAACAGAGTGGCTGAGTTCTTATAAGCTGCTATCCTAATCAGAAGGAAAAGACTGTTTTTGCCCTGATGCTTTTGATATCTTTTTACAGGTTCTCTAGTTTTATTTATTTATTTTAGGCTTTTATTCTGTTTTTGGTTTTTGGTTATATTATACGTATATTTTCATTGTATTTTATTTTTTTTTTACTTACTGGTATTTGACCATATTTTATTATTTTATATTTTATTAATGATTATTAATAAAGAACAAGTGAACCTTTCTGCCTCCTTTCTGTTGTTCCATAGAGATAAATGAACAGATATGCTGGTGAAGAGGAGAGGGAGCAGCCAGCTAGCTTTTGTTTACTTACCCATGAACTTGCAAGCAGTGAGGAAGAGGAGCACCTGGCAGCCAAGAGGGAATTTCAGTATGATATGCTGAAAACCCTATAAACATGGACCAAGAAAAGCCATTACTAAGTTTCAGTTGCCCTAATTAACTGACAATGCATTGTTACTTACTGCTTAGAGCAATTTTATGCCAACTTGATGCCATCAAGATGAGGGAGGCAGCTTCTAGAATTCCACAGTCAATAAAGTGCAAGCTGGAAATGTGAAGTTGTAGTCATATACATCTACAGGCTCCAACCTTCTGGTTTGGGGAGGGCAATCTATAACGTTTTCTCTGCAAATGCTAAGAAACAGGTAAAGTCTTGGGGGATTTTTTTGACATCAGTCAACCAAGCAAGACTTATAGCTCTGGTCTTCTAAAGAAGCCAAACTGTTAAAGAGAAGCATTTGAATCTACAGTTCTTATTTTATTCTTAACTGGTTCTAGAATGATTGTTACTAGGTTTTCTTTGATGTTAAAGATATGTCAGCTGTTCTGAATACTGAAACTCACAATATTTTTATCACAGGAACAATATACAGGTAATCCTCAACTTACAATCACAATTGGGACCAACTTGCATTGCTAAGCGATGCAGTCATTAAGTGAGTCGTACCTGATTTTATGACCTTTTTGCCATGGTCATTAAGTGAATCCAGCTTCCCCCATTGACTTTGCTTATTGGAACCCCCTGGGAAGGTCACAAATGGCAATCACGTGACTCTAGGACGCTGCAACTGTCGTAAAGACATGCTGGTTGCCAAGTGCCCGAATTTTGATCACATGGCCGCAGGGGTGCTGCGACGGTGCAAGGACCAGTTGTAAGTCATTAATTTCAGCACTGTCGTAACTTTGAATGGTTGTTAAAAGAATGGTTGCAAGTTGAGGACTACCTGTAGTAGAACTGGAGAATCCAACACCTTGAGAAATTTCAGGAACCCTATTTTTTCCAATCCTTATGCATGGAGATATTCCATTTAAAAACTAATGTTCACAGTGGTGGGTGTGATGCAACTTTTTATCAGAAGGCTTCATCTTGAGTTTCAAACACGCCTCTCTCCTTTCTCTTCTTCCAAGTTGGGTGTAAACCAAGATCTTGAAATGCAGTTTAATCCACAGACTCTGTGTTTGATGCGTTAGGTCTGGCTCAGTGTGCTGAACTTTGCTGGCAGCTAAGAGGAGAAGCCGGAAAGAGACAAGTTCCTGGTGCAAAGCTAGCTTTGCAGCATAATTTGGGCCTTGGTGGTGCAGTTGTTGTATCTCTCTACAAAATGGGCTTTCCAGAAGCTGTAAGGTGAGTGCAGTCCTCCCCCTGCGCAATATGTGTCGTGGCTGCTGTAGTAATTTCCACTAAAGTCTCTGCTTTGAATAGGATTAATGTGCCTGCTGTGAATAACCAGATTAATATGCCTGCCTGCTGTAAATAACATATTTCTGCCATTATTTCCCACTCTTAATTTCTGCATAATTAAAGTAGGCAATTGGAAATCATCCTGCTTACAACAGGAAAAATATTGAGTCATGGATGAAAAGTTCCTGCTCAGAATCGTTTTTTGAAAGAGCAACTTGTTTTGTCAGCTGCTAGAAACTTTGCTTGTGATTTTCTTCATGGATCAAAGAGGTCTATCTCAATTATGTTTTCCAAGTCTGGTTCCATATATATACATATTCCATATATATATATATATATATATATATATA